TTAAGGATGATTTCTCGCCTTTCCCTGAAGGAGACAAAAGAGATAGGAGGATGGAGGAGGGGGAGCAAGCTTGGGTGCTGCCCTAGAGGGGATCGGTCCCACCTGCAGCCCCCTCTTCCTTATATGTTCCCAGCAAATGATCTTTTGTAAAAAGCCTGTGAACTGATTGTTCTCCACTGGCAATTTCTGGGAAATAGAGTAATAAATACAAAGCCCCAGGAAGAAGCTGTTCAGAACATTCACTTCTTATTTAAAGAGGAATTTATTTTTACATCAAACTTTCTGTATCTTTTCCGAATGTCTAGCCACGAGGAGATGAGAGACAAATTAAAATGCTATCTTTTGAACTATGTAACTAATCGACAAGTCCTCCAGTCCCCTTTCTGGCCCTTTCTTCTGTCCTCTTTTTATACTTCCTAATTTTTAAAAAATCTTCTACATATGTGTTTTAGAGGATTTCTCAGTTGTGAGTCAACAAGTCCCTGAAACAAGGGAGGAATTGAGAAGCAGAGAGAAAACAGAAACAATGACAGCAAGAAACACCTGAAGGTCAAATAATAAAATACTTAGTAATAGCCTAAAAGCATATGTAAATATAATCTAGTACTTATTCCAATGTCTGTGAGCATCCTAAATTTCAAATTTCCCATGTATGAGACTGAAAAAAACTGCAAGATTGAAAAAACAGTGACTTGGTACAGTAATTTCCTTCCTCCTTAGCACCTTCTTCTTCAGCAGTGTGTTAGTCCATTTCTGTTCTATAACAAAATGCTTAGGACCTGGGAATTTATAAAGAAAAGATTTTCCTTAGCTCACAGTTCTGGAAGCTGAAAACTCCAAGAGCACAGTACTGGTATCTGTTCAGCATCTGGCGGAGAGCTTTCCTGCTCCCCTGTGACACGGTGGGGCTAACACCTGTCATGACACAGCAAGCTCAGGTCTCTCTTGCTCTTCCTAGTAAGCCACTGAGGCCACCTGGGGTCCTCTTGCTCGTGACCTCATCCAACTGTAATTATCTCCCTACAGGTTGCACCTCTGAATACATTAACGTATCCATTTGGGGATTGTGTTTCCAGCACGTGAACTTTCTAGAGACACATTGCAGTCATAAGCATCGTCGCTGTCATTATCCTTGCTACCATGATCATCGTTGAAACCTCAAGTGGAGGGAAGGCAAAAATAAAGTTTATCAGAGTTTTTAAGAATTTAGTAGAGGAAAACAGTGAATTACCAAGTCAGTTTCAGGTAGGCTGTCAGCAGGGTTGTTCTCCCTGACTCGGATGAGAGGTTGGAGGCAAAGTCAGAGAATAGACCCTGGACAAGCAGGGAAGGACCCCAGGCAGAGCAACCAGGGTCTGAGTCCTCAGGAAGCCAGAATTGCACGGTGTGAGTCCATTACAAAGCTGGTCTGTATTAGGATGATTCCTCAGGATGACACATTCTCTGAGGAGACAGCTTTAATTTGAAGCAAAATGGGTGCTATAGCTTCAGTATTGACTGTCTCCCAAAGCCCTGTGTGTTAAAAGCTTAGTCTTGAAGATGGGGCTTTGGGAGTGGAAGAAACTTTAGGAGGTGGGGCCTAGTGGGAAGTCCTTAGGTCACTGGGGGTGTGACCTCCAAAGGCACTGTGAGGCCCCTCCCACACCCTCTCTCTCACTCTCACTTCCTGAATGAGTACATTTTCTACAGCTGCTGCCCCTGGGCATCAGACTCCAGTTTCTTCAGGCTTTGAACTTGGACGTGCACCTCCTGGGGCTTTTGGGCCTTTGGCCTCAGACTGATGCTGCGTCCTTGACCTCTCTTTCATTTTGAGGCTTCCAGCTTCTTAGACTGAGCAGCTACCAGCTCTTCCAGCTCTGCAGCCTATAGATGGCCCCATGATGGTGTAAGCCAATCTAAGAAATCCCCCCTTATAATTGTATATACGCATATTCTAGTGGCTCGGTCTTCCTGGAAAACCCTAACTAATACATGGTAGAATAGGTGAAGGGAAGACTAGGGCCAGAGGGGCATAAAGAAGCAGACTTTGCCGACTCTGGAGGGCAGGACTCCTACCAGTAAGAGGAAATTTAAGCCCTGGCTTCATGGAGAAATGATCAGAAAAAATGCAGCTATTTTGAGTTCAGATTTCATGTCTAGAGAATGATGTCCTAGGATACTGGAACAAAATTGAGAGAAGAAATTGGTTATGTTTTGCGCTACAGAATCATACAGAAAGGGAGAGGTCCTGGAAGCCTAAAGGAGGCCAAATGACTTTCTAGTTTCCAGAAAAGGAGAGAAAATGTATTCCAGCATTTGCAGGTGAGGCAAGTCTAGACTACAATACTGCAGTGATGGATGGTGAGTCCTAGGAGAGAAGGTGACTGTCCCCAGAAGCTGACCAGGTTTCCTAAGAACTGTGCACACCAGGTAAAGACCCTTTCCCTTCCCAGAGGTCCTGAGCAGTAGCTCAGGAAACAGGACAAAGTATCCCTGGTTCTAACAAAGCGCCCGACAGAGGTCTCTGGTCAAGTGTCTATGGATACGACAGTGTCCCCATAAAGTCACACAAGTTAGTTGATTCACAACTGGTTGGAGGACTGTCCCTGCCTCCAGCTCAGTGAGCTCAAGGGTCTTCACTTCAGTCATGGATGAATGAATCTTTCATGCCTGGAACCATGCACATAATGGGTGCTTGATTCATATCTGTCACGAGTAGATCGTTACTGAGCCAGGGGACAGCCTTGGGGGACATTGTGAGAGACCTGCTTTTGTTGTGCGAGTGACTTCAGTGACAGCATTGATGATGTGTTCATGAAAGTCCCTGGAAAACAGAAGGAGGCAAAGCCTGAAAACTGGAGATTGACAGAATCATGTCCCCAAATATCTCAGTAGCGGGAGTTGCAGGGATCAAGGTAAAAGTTGCATACATTCTACTCTTGAGACTTAAAAATCCACTGAACAGGTCCAAGAGGGAGAAATAGAGCTTAAGAAACCTTACTCTAATAATGCATGTGAGCCATGTGTGGTGGTGCATGTCTATAATCCCAGCATTGAGGAGGCTGAGGCAGGAGGATCGCCACAAGTTTGAGGCCAGTCTGAGCTTCATAATGAGTTCAATACCAGCCTGAATTACATAGCAAGACCCTGTCTCAAAAAAAAAAAAAAAAAAAAGGTATATGGTTTAGTTGAGTCTAAATTTAGTATTAGTGCAGATTATGACATAGTTGCTAGAAGAATCCTTTTCCAACCATTCATTTACGGATGCATTAATTCTGCAAACCTGTGCCGAGAGTCTGCTCCGTGCCTAGTTCTGTGCTGAGAGGAGGCTGTAGGCAGTGACACACAGGCCTTTCTGAAAGCCCCATGGTGCAGAATGGGCACGAGAAGGGGATGGGGAGGGGCAGCAGGGAGCAGTGGGAGCCCCAGGAGGAATGCAGCCCAGGATGCTGCTTCTTGTTTCACCCCCCCCCCCCACTGGCTCCTGGGCCTCAGATTCCTTGGCCCACTTCTCGTCCCTGTCTACTGTTACCCCTTCTGATCCCGTCCAGTCTTGTGGCTTAAGATGTGTTCCATTGGCAGGTTTGTCTCCCATTTCTGAACAGCTCGGGCTTCTCCCCAGAACACAGGGCTCACGTGTCCCCTTGCCTTCTCGACATCTCCCACATTTAGCGCACTGGAAACTGCATTCCTCCCTCGCCCCTGCATTTGCTTGCTAGGGCTGCCATAACAGTGGGTGTCTTAAAATAACTAAAATGTATTCTCTCACAGCTCTGGAGGCTGGAAGCCCAGAGTCAGGGTGTGAGCAGGGCCTTGCTCCCATGAAGGTTCTGGGGCTCTGTTCCCTGCCTCTTTCTCTTAGGTGGTAATGCCACAATCCTTGGGGTTCCTTGCCTGTAGATGTGTTGCTGCAGTGCCTGCTTTGTCACAGGTGTCGTCTGCCTGTGTTTGTGTGTGTGTGTGTGTGTGTGTGTGTGTGTGTGTCTTCTCTTGTCATAAGGACACCAGTCACATTGGTTGGGGTCCATCTTGATGACCACATCTTAATTTGGCTTCTTCTGCTAAGACTTTCCACAGAAGGTCATATTCACAGGAACTGAGGTTAGGAGCTCAACAAATCCTTGAGGGGACACAGTTCAACCCATAAAACCCCAAACCTGCCGTATCTGTGGTCTTCCCAAGCCAGCTCTAGCCACGTCCTTCTTCCAGTTTCTCTGGATAAGACCTTCTGTGTTATCCTCAAGCCCAGCCACCTCTGGCGCACCAGGAGGTGCTTCTGACCCACTCAGGCATAGGTCTAGAACCAGCCGCTTCTCACTTCACTGTCCCCAAATGACTGCCAATACCAGATCAGATCGCATCGCTCCCCTATGCAAAACCCAAGTATCTTCCTTTGTTCTCAGCTGCTGCCTCACAGGTGTCTGTGCCCTCCGCTCGGGCTCCTGTGTGCCCCTCTCCTGCCACCCCAGCCTCCAGCTCCTCCTCATCTGTGCTGAGCCCCCACCCACCAGTCACACTTGGCCCGCCCTCCTGCCTCAGCTGCCCTCGCCTAGCCACTGTCTTCTCAGGGATGCTCCCCACCCAGCCTCCCAGCCCCCACTCATGCACAGCATTTCCCCTGACATGCTTCCTCTTTCCCATCCCGCACTCGCATGTGTTTGGGACCACTTGTTATGCATTTGTCTCCCCTGGTGAAATGTATCCTCCAAGAGGTAGAGGTGTTCTGTTTTGTCTCAAGTCTTCCTGGCTCCAAGACCTCCCTACTTTCTGCATCAAAGCCCCCTTAGAGTCCCTGAGCATGGTGACAAATGCTGTAAATCCCAGCATTTGCTAGGCTGAGGCAGGAGGATCACTGAAAATTCAATGCCAGCCTGAACTACATATCGAGACCCTGCCTCAGAAAACAAAAAAGACCCCTGAGAACCATGCAAAGGAAAACCTCTCCTTCCTACCCCCCAGCCCTGTCTTTTGCCATCGTCCTCAGTAACATCATCTCTTGCACCTGTTTACCTAAAATACAGATTTAAACTGTGCAGAAACAACCCAGTATCACATTCAAGAGGATGGATCAGGAGCCACTTCTGCACCAGGTGAGCTTGGGCACATCGTTTCACCTCGCTGTGCCTCAGTTTCCTTATCTGTGACCGAGATATAGTGACACTACAGTAGCAGAGTGTCTGTGATTACTGAGTGAGTGAACGCGTATAAGCACTCAGCATGCAAGCAGGGAGTACTGTGCAGGGCTTTTCTACATCATACCCCTGGAGGGCCTTACGCCTTGGGAAGCAGGCCCATCACAGGACAAATGCTGCCTGGCTCCCTTATATGAGGCATCTAAAGTACTCACCCCATAGAAACAGCAAGTAGGATGAAGGTTGCCCAGGGCTGGTGAAGGAGAGATCTGCTGCTCAGAGGGTACAGTTCTGGTTATGTAAGATGAAAAAGCTCTAGCGATATATCTGCTCTACAGCATCCTACTTACAGTTATCTTTACCGTCCACTCATTTGTTACATGTTACATGTTACGTGGGGGTTTTAAGCAGAGTTTTTAAATTACTAATCCCTTTGCTGTGTCAAATTTTCTCAAGACTAAGGGACTTACCTAAGATCTCACAGCCAGTAAATGTCAGGAGGTGATAAGAATTGGGTCTTTGACTCTCAGGGCTCTTGACCCTGCTCAAAGTTGGCCAGCAGTAGTGACTGTCAAAATCCGATCATAAATGGGTTCTGCAGAGCAGGGAAGTATAGCCACACTCCGTGGGGAGAAAATGCCTCCCATGTTGGCTTCATAAAATTCTTCTATGCCCCATAGGTTGAGCAATGAGAAATAAATAATCCAGACGTTGGTGTTATTGATGGGTGGCTGGGGCTTCTCAAACGGGGAATAAACAAAAGAACTGTCTTAATTTCAAGCTTCATTAGAACCAGCAAAGACTAAAAGTCATTTTTCAAAGTGGTGGGCAGCATTGGGGATCTGTCCCCACCTGGAAGGGGCCCTTGGCCTGTACAAGCAGCCAAAAATAACTCCTGTCCTAATTAATTCTCATCTCCTCCTTGCATAAATATGCTTGGGGAAAGTGTCATCCTAGCATTTTTGTTTTCTCTCTTCCTAACAAGGACTTCTCTCTGCTCCAGCACTTTAGGTGCTGATTTTTCTCATGTCCTGGAGATTCTCCTAATTAGTCCATGCTTCCTTCCTATAATAGTTCACCACAGGGAGTGTGTTTGGACTGAAGAGGCAGCAGTTTTGTCACCTTATCAAAGTGCCACTGATCAGGTTGGCTTTCTTGGGTACTCATTCATTTTACGCCTCTCTGGAAAGGGAAGCAGCAAGCTCCTTGCTAAATGGGCTGGAGGTGGCTGGATTCTGCATTCTCCCCAAAGCTCCTCCATCCCCCTTGACAACATGTGCCTTGAAGCCTTTGCAGTGGAGCTTACCAGAGAGATGATCTCCTTCCTCGTCAGTGGAAAAACCCTGGTGTCAGGACAGTATGGCAGAAGCATGCTACTGTCACCTTGTCCCCAAATAACCTGGCATCTATAGGCCTGGCTGCTGGCTGGGGTCAGCCCCCTGCCCATGCTTCCCAGGGACAGGGTGTAGAAAAGCCTCTTCCTCCTTTCAGGAGCACAGCGAGCCTGGGGACCAAAGGGAGTATATTCTAGGGGTGCTGCCATTGCTGAAGGAATGTGTGGACACCAGAGATCCAAGATTATTCTCCTGCACTGCTTCAGAGCTGGGAGGAGAGGCTGGTATGGGGCTTCTTTCTGGACTTGTATTAGTTAGCTTTTGCTAAATAATGAGCCACACGAAAAGTTGATAGCTGAGGAGAGCAGATATTATTTGTCCTAATCCAGTAGGTTATCTGGCTTGTTCTGGTTGGGAAGGGAGGCTGGTTTGGCAGGAGAGGCCCATCCTATCTGTGGGGTGTCAATTTATTTGGCTTTGGGATCCACCCAATGGATTGGTAAAGTATTCTTCTGGATGTGTCTGGGTGGGTCAGGGAGGAATGCCCTTAGGGTCTATGTCTGGCAGTGTTTCCCTGCTCTGCTTCCTGGTGGCCAGGAAGTGAGCAGCTTTCTTCTGCCATGCCTTTCTTCCATGGTGTTTCTACCTTGGAGCTAGCTGACCATGGAGTGATTCTCCCAAAACTGTAAGACAAATTAAGCCTCTCCTCCTTCAAATTATGGGTGCTGGGTATTATGTCCAGCAACAGGAAGGCCAAGTAATACACTGTCCCACTTGCTTTTTCTACTATCCTGGGAGCAGCCTGGGTGCGTCATCTGAAGTTCAGATTCCAGAGAGACCGAAAGAAGACAAGCAAAGCTCAATGCACAAGTACTGTGTGTCTGTGTTACATTTTCTGTTGTTCCATTGGCCAACGTGAATCGTTGAGTGACCAAGGCCAGAATTAGTGTGAGACGGGAATGGAGAGGAAAGAGCAGACACAGGGTGTGTGTTGGGGGGAAGGAGGGATCCCTGCAGCAGCCCACCCGGGACAGCCAGGTCGGAGGGTGTCTTGTCCTACCCTGTGCAGCTGTGTGTCAGCAGGGCCAGTGGAGGTGACTCTTCTGGAAGACATGACAAGGAACAGTTCTTCTGAGGGAAGGAAACATAATGGTGTTTGATACACATGGGTTCAAACCACACACATCATTTGTTAGCTGTGTGACTGGGCAGGTAACTTGACTTCTTCAAGCCCTGACTTTGCAAGCCTCCTTGGAAAGGCGAACTGATCCAGACCTGTGTGCTGGCCCCATTGTAGGGGCAATGGGAAGGTTCTCACGGTGGGAGGCTGGACATGCCAACGTCTGGAAGATAGATGGTCTTCCACTCACCAGAAGCTTGGTTGAGTTCCTACCTGTAGTGCTCTCAGACCCCAGAAAGGAAAAGAAGGCTCTGCTGGTTTCTTGCAGCTTAAACTTGTCCAAATATTTATTGTTTAAATTTAAAACAACTTACCCTTCCTTGATACATCCTCCAACAGCAACTGCAACTGCCAGTTGACTTCTATACCATTTCCCCAGAATAGCTTTTGCTCCCTGTTACAGTGGCATTAGCTGCTTTGTAGTGTCCTTCCTCGGCCTCTTGGCATCTGACACTGTCACTTCTCACCTCTGAGTTTCGTTCTCCACTTCATTGCCTCTTTCCTCCTCTTGGCCTGTACTTGTTGGTATTTCCCAAACCCTCCTCTGTTGCCGGGCAACATCATTTCATGGGATGAAATGAAAGCACAGGACCGTCAGCATGCTCATGATGTCCTACCTCCCCTACCCACCACCCTCCCTCTCTGGCCCCAGCTTGCCTCTTGAACTGAAGGTCAGTTGTTCCAGTTCTGTGTAAGTACCACACATTGACCGATTGCACCAGTGGAGCTCCAGTTGCTTCAATTCTGTATGTTGCAAAGTGAATTTATCTTACCAATGTGTCTTCATCTGCTCAAGCTGCTGTAACAGAATCCCGCAGGCTGGATGGCTTAAAGGAAAGAAAGTTATTTTTCATAGTTCTGCAGGCTGGAAGTACAAGATCAGGATGTTGTCAACGTGAGTGCCCTCTTTCTGGCTTGGAGCTTCTAGTGTCTTTTCCCCTTCTCATAAGGGCACTAATCCAATCCCAAGGGCCCCACCCGTGTGATCTAATTGAATCTTCATGACCTCCCGAAGGCCCTGCCTTCCTCACACTATCACTTTGGGGGCCAGGGCCTCTGCAAGTAGATGGGGTAATGCGTACTTCAGTCCAGAGCACCCTACGTCCCACCCTTCTGCCCCTTCCCACCCTCTTTCCCTTTGTCTCGGCTCCACTCATCCACCTGCAGTGTCCTGACCATCTCAGTGCTCCTGCTGTTGTCTCTACCTGGGTTGCCCCTCTATCCAAGACTGTCTGCCAGAATGCCTGCTCATCCATTGGAACTCACTGTGGGGTCACCACACAACATGATCTCTCTGCACCCCTATTTATCACTTACCCTAGTGTACTGTGAACTCATGTCTGGGCCTATCTCCCTTAGTGGCCTGTGAGCTCCTTGGGGGCAGAAATCATCTCATTCATTTCTCTGTACCCCAATGCACAGTAAATAAGTATTGAATGAATGAATGAATGAGTGAGCGAGTGATTCAGTGGAAGATCAGTGGAGCAGGACCAGCAACCTCCTCTTTGCTGCATCGACCCGTCCCTGGTGCCTTGTTCACACAAGTGGCATCAGCTGCTAGCCCCCTGCCTCTCCTGCACACGGTCGCCCAGCACGGGAGCTGTGGGTGCTCCCCTTCGTACCCCACAGCACCAGGGCCCCTCCCACATCACGTGGATCCCACAGAGCAACCCCATCCCTGCCTCAGCCCCTTCCACCCTTTCTGCCTGTTCTGTTTGCATCCTTTTATGCTGTTCTGTTCCCTAGCTGTCTGGCATGATGGGGCCCTTTATTGTGTCAGTCTGTTCTGCTGTCCGGCTTGGTCATTGTTTAAGTATGTTGTGTCCTCCTTGTAGACAGGAACCTTGGTTTGCACGTCTGTGCTTCCTCGGCCCTTGGCCACTTGGGAAATGCTGTTCCACTGGTATTTATTCACAGCTGGCCTCAGGGTTCTGCTCACTTTCCACTTGTCTCCCTTTCTCTGAGCCACCATCCTCTTTGGAAAGTCAGAGAGGCCCACAAGTTAGTACTCAGGTGACTTGGGTACAACTTGGGCTCCAGTGTGGCCAGGCTGGGAGACTGGGAGCCAGCAGCTTAACCTCCGAGCTTCTCGTTTCCTTGTCTGTGAAATGGAGATAAGAGCACTAGGCTGCAGGCTGAGCTGTCCTGAGGATTAAATGAATCCTCCCTGGAACCGACTCAGCCCAGTGCCTAGTACAGAGTCAGTACTCAGTAAAGCTTGGCTGCTGTGATTGAGGTTCTTCTCAATAATACTGTTTTATCAATAAATCCTGCCCTAAAAGATCTATCACAGACGGACCCCTGGCTGGCACCTAACCCGGAACAAGTGCCGTGGATGTGGGGCTGCTGTGCAGATGGCCCTGTAGGGCTGCCGTGGAGCCCACCCCATCCTTGTTAGTGGGAATGAGAAGCTAATTTTCCCTGGTGAGGGAAGGAGGAGGGAA